TTCACTCTACATCTTTTTCTATCCATAGTGCTTTTATTTAAATGACAAAACACATTTAAAACTCAGTTTTCAACTACACAAACTTTTTGTTGTTGTTGTTGTTTGTTTTTTGAATGCTTCCCTGGATCCTTTTATAAAGATCAATTCTCTGAGAAGAAATACATTTTTAGACATACATTTTTATTCTTTGACCACCTTTCCCTTTCATCACAGAACACATTTACTTGGGTAGCTACACATCTATCTCAATCCATGTGGTTTTGTACGTCTCTCCCCTTCCTAGGGTTCAATGAATGAATCCCTCTAGCCACTCTAAATGGCTCAAAGGTTAAGAAGAGTCACTATAAGACCTGTTTTAGGCCTTATTTTTGTAGCAAGTTTAGGAATAATGTGTGGGGCTAGAGATAGCTCAGTGGTTAGGAGTCCACAGTGCTCTTGCAGAGGATCTTAGTTCAGGACCTATGCCAGGAATCTCAGCAAACTGAACATGTCTGGCCTTTGAGGGCCTACATTCCCATGTACATAACTCTACAAAAACACACACAATTAAAAAACATCTTTAGAATAATATGTAAATCTATAACTGTTGGCAGTTTGAAGTTTTGATCACCAGTTTATTCTGGATTGTGATGAAGAAATTATCCTGAAGTTGAGTGAGGACAGACCATGAGCAGTCAGTTATGAGGTCAGAGGAACACAGCAGCCAGCAGTCATGGAGCCTGCCAAGCAGCAGGTCCGGCAAAGACAATTTTATTCCTCTATTGCTAGCATTGGGCTTCTGTCCTATGGAACCAATTCATAAAAATGCATAAACTATCATAAATAATACTAACCTATTTGAAAATCTGGGTAAAATATGATTTATAAAGAAAATATAATTTGCCAATCTTGACTAGAGAAGATACAGAAATGTAGCAGTTCAGTAGCCACAGAAGACAAGAAACACAAAGGAACCGGACGGTGGTGGTGTACACCTTTAATTCCAGCACTCAGGAGTCAGAGGCAGGCAGATCTCTACGAGTTCAAGGCCAGCTTGGTTTACAGAGTAAGTTCCAGGACAGCCAGGGCTACACAGAGAAATCCTGCATTGACGCCCCCACCAACCAAAAAAGAAAAAAAAAAAATCAACAGACTCAAGACAATAGGCTTTTCCCCACTTTGATTAGGGCAAATTTTTTAAATCAAATTTAGATAATTCTATCAAACACATGAAACAGTTCATCTTACTTATAAACTGTGCTACCTCAGGAATGAAATATTTAATATGGGAAAACTTTGATTTGAATTCATTAAATTATACCAATTGAAAATCTTGATTTTTTAAATACAAGTTTCAAAAAACTTGTATGAGCTCAGAGACTGAAGCAGCAAGAACAAGGCCTATATAGATCTGCATCAGGTCCCCTGCCCCGACCAACACACACTACCTTTCAGCTTAGTACTCTTCATGGGACAAGAGTTTGTGAACCAGTGGGTCTCTGATCCTTGTGCCTGCTCTTGGGGCTCTTTTCCTTCTTTTGGTTTGCCTTAGCAAGCCTCAAAGTAATGGGTTTTTTGTTTTTGTTGCTTTATCTGATTATATTTTATTTTGTCCTGTTTGATAGTTATTTCTTAGAAGCCTGCTCTTTTCTCATGAGAGACAGAAAGGAAGTAGATCCAGATGGGAGAGGAGGTGGGGAGGAACTGGTAGGAGTAGGAGAGGAAACTGTAATCAGGATATACTGTATGAGGAAAGAATCTATTTTCAACAAAAAGGAAAAAATGAAACTAGCACTATGATAATATATTAGAATTTGATGCAGAATGATCTATTGGAAGCTTAGTACATGCATCATTGTGTAACAAAAGACCACTGTAGGCATCTGTACCTAATCTGGCAACAAGACAAGCACTTCTGCAAGGCAGAGCTAGTAGACCAAGCAATTCTAACTCAAACCAAACAAATGGAACATGAACAGTGAGTAATAAACAAAGCCCTAGCAACTGCAAATTATTTTCCAGGAATACCCTGATTAACACTTTATAAGAATTCTGCATTGTCATGACAAACTGGCACATAAATACAAAGATTTTTTTAATTACAACAGTGATAAAAATTTATAAAATGTTTTCAGAGATTTGATTACAGTAACACAAAAATCCACAAAAACATCAAAAATGTTTTACACACACACACACACACACACACACACACACACACACAGTGAAACTAAGACACCAAGAGAGCCTGCCCACAAATATTATTTAATATACATCATTGCTCTTGAAGAAAAATACTCCGTTTTGTACTTTTTTCTAAACCATTTCTATAAATTAATGCCACCCAAACCCAGATTTCAAGAAGATATGCCCAAGAGGAGACAAATATATGGAAAATATCTAAGATAACCCTATCCCACCAAACTATATTCAGAGCATGTTGATTAAGACCCCAAAATAGCTCAATAAAAACAAATACAATGAAACATTTCTGTTCAATGACAAAATAATTAGAGCTTCAATTCATGATTCTGAACAAATGACCAACTAAAAGCATTTCCATACCTTGTCTTCATTGTTCTGATCAACTATACATCTAGCCATTAATCATCCAAAGACACATGCATACACAGTCAACTTGACCATATATAAAATGTAAAATGCCTATAAAATGCCAGGGAGTCTATAAAAGAATCCCAGAAAGTCAGAAACATACAGCCACCTGGAGGAATCACCGGTAACGAGTGGGCATGGTGGCATACATCTTTGATCCCAGAACTTAGGTAGGCAGACGCAGGTGGATCTCTTTAAGTTCTAGGACAACCTGGTTTACATAGTGAGTTTCAGGTTAGCCAGAGCTACAGTGGGACCCTGTCTTAAAAAATAAAATCCTTCAACAAATCTCTAATAAAAAGACAGATGATTGAATAGATTAGACATACAAATGTGAGTTCCAACATAAAAACAAAGTTAAAACAGGTTTTATTCTATTAATGCGAGTGATAAAGACATGATTCTGACTATACCTCATATTATGAGACAGCAGGTACTCACTGGGAGTGGAAAAAGAAAATAATACAACCACTGTGGAAGCCATATTGGAATACCTCTTCAAACTAAGAATGCTTATCCTCTGGCCCACCAATTCAAACCCTTAGCATATGCTACACAGAAATCCTTAAACCCAGAGACCTAAGGAACACAATGCTTGCTTACTTCAGCAGTGGCGTGAAATCACTGTGTTTGTGTGTGGCAGGGGGAGGGGCAGAGGAAAATTCCCTAATTTTAGGTATATGATAGGCAAAGTAGACTATTAGACATATGATGTGCTCTTGAAGATATTTGAAGTTACAGACCTTTTTCTAAAAAAAAAAAAAAAAAGCAACAATAAAAACAAGAAACCTCTACATTTCATTTTATTTTCTGTGGCTAAGTACTGGGATCAAAAACTTGCCAAAACAAGTCTGTTTGATATTTGCATTAGTAAAATGTAATCATATATGATACATATAAAATTTCAAAGGTAAAGATTAAAGTTTTGCTGGGCGTTGGTGGTGCACGCCTTTGATCCCAGCACTCGGGAGGCAGAGGTAGGCGGATCTCTGTGAGTTCAAGGCCAGCCTGGTCTCCAGAGCGAGTGCCAGGACAGGCTCCAAAGCTACACAGAGAAACACTGTCTCCTGTCTCGAAAAACCAAATAAATAAATAAATAAATAAATAAATAAAATAAATAAAAAGATTAAAGTTCAAAAGAAGTATGCAGAGAGACAGATAACATTTTAAGAAAAATACATACACAAAAATACTTGGTTATTTTTTTTTCCTCTTCCTTGATGGCAAATGTCTTAAGGTTTTGGAAGGTTATTGACTAATAAGGTGGTAATATTGTCTAGAGACATCTCTAATAAAATGACATTACCAACCTTGCACCTTCACTTGAAAAAGGTAACAAAGTTTAGTTCATGATTTACAGAAGACACTTCAGTTCCCAGCTCCTATTGTTTTGTTTAAATTTTTCATTGGTTCTTTTTTAATGAGTTTGTTTCTACATTTAAGTGTATGTAGGTTAGAGGACAACTTGAAAGAATTAGTTCTCTCCTACCACCGTGGGTCCTAGGAATTATAAACTTGGGCCCTGAGGCTTGGTGCCAAGGTCCTTTAACCACTGAGTCTTCTCACCAACCCCTCTTTGTATGGACTCTTCTTTCCTGGAAGCCTGTAAAGTTCTTTAAGCTAAGATTGAGAAAAATACCCAGATGCAATCTAGGAGTAGTTTTTAAGAGTATGGGTCCTTTAGAGTTGCTTATTTTTCATTCTTTATTTATTTACTTTTGAGCAGAATCTCATGCATTTCAGGCTAGCCTCCAGTTATGGTCTTTCTAATGTTCCAGCCTCTGGAGTGTTGGGATTGAAGGCGTACAGCACCAAGTCTTGCTTATTTAGATTCCATTGCTGTATATCCTGTGTTGCTAAAACATTGGACCATGAAAACAATGACAAGTATAGTCAGCAGTTTCTTCCCAAATAAAAAAGACATCAGAGAAGGAGGAAAAGCCATGAGACGGTTTTTCAGCGGAGCTTGTAATTTCTCTGTGCAGGCACCTGCTGCACCTCTCCTGGCGCACCTGCCTGGAGCAAGCACCACTCATATTTTGATTTAATAAAAACTTGTTTAGGAAGGAGACAACAAAGCTCTAGACCCTGTACCATAAAGCTAGACATGCCACAGGTCCCAGCTAACCTTACTTGGACTCTTCTGTAACAGAAGGGCTATACCACAGATACCAGACATAAAGTACAGCTTCAAGAATCAACATGTTTCATCAAAAGCCACCCAGAAAAGAAACACTCATTTTTCCAATATAATAAAAGCATTTTTAGAACCATATTATAGATTTGTTTTACCTGACATTATTATATGTAACATACTGAAAAAATTCAAGCTGGTAACAAGCCGGTCCAGCAGCGCCAGCACTCCCTCCCACACTGACCTGGGAACGAAGACAAGTTAAACAGCCCACTTTACACACAGCTGAAGTTTATTTTTTACAACAGAGCACTTTTGATATAATTTAAAACACACATGCTTTGATTGAAGAGTGACTGTAAGTGAGTCCAGTCTTCTTCTACCTGTGATGACAACTTTACCAGTTCTTCTAACAACACCGGCTCTGAAGGAAGCATTTTGAGGTGTAACTGAAAAGAAAAGTATGATGGTTATGTTGGACGTTTTATTTAAGAATACTAAAATTTTGATTTTTTTTTTAAACCAAGGAACCTAAGAAAATAGTATTGAAATATTTCTTTCTTAAATAGTGGTTTATTATTCTCTGATTTCCTGCTGTTCCATCAAACTATTTTTTACATCAAACTTTTTTATATGCCATGAGCTCTCTTAACAGAAGTGAGGAAACTTCATTCTTCCATACATAGCACAAATGCCAGTTATCAGACTGCTTTCACTTCCCCTTCCTCTACACCCCAAGGATGTCATGTACTTTACTTTCTAAAGGCTTATGTAAATTTGTTTGTAGGGAATAACATTTGATAAACACAGGAAAGCCTATAGAGACAATCTGGAATTTCTTAAAAAAAAAAACAAAAAACAAAAAACCCTATTTGGTACTACCTAAACATTCAGCTTTTAAATAAATTTAAAATACTTGCACCTTGAGCACATTACACCACCACAGTGGACCCACAAAGCACATCTCTATTTCGTTCATCCAAAAAGCAAGTTGTGCCAAATTACTTGAAACTGATGGAAGTGAATATTTTGATTGCAGCAGCAGACAAAAATGAACAAATAAAAGAACCGGGAGTTTCCCTTATGATCACAGAAAACTTAAAATAAAAATGTAACTACTTAAAAGAGGCTAAGTTTAAGCACAAGTAACAAACAAATGACAAGAGGGACAAAGTAAAAATTATGCCACCAATTACGCCACCGAGTAATAACAAAAATAAAGACTACAAAGCACACAGTCCAGTTACTCCAGGACGGTACACATTGGCTCAGACAGATGTGGTTCAGCTATACTTAGCCTGGATGCAGAGCATACCAATCTTTGCAGAATACTGTTTAATAATATTAAAGAAGGAAGGAAATATTAAAGAAGAATATTGTTAATAATGCAAAGGAAGGAACTTATCTTACACCTCACTCACCTTCAAAAACAAGGCAAGGTATGCCTGGGCTAACTCAAAATCACGCTTTCTGTTCAACATCATCCCGATCATTTTCAAAAAGCCCTGCATGACTTTTACTGACCCACCATCATCAGGAGACAGGTTTCGCAGCTCTGTTTCAATTCCTGATGGGCCTAATTCTTTCAGAAGGTTAAGAGCAGCTTCATCTGCATTATTGTAAAAAGAATATAGTTATTCCTTACAATTACTTAGTTTAAGAAGCTACAATCTTACTTCATACCCCAAGCAATATATATGTAAATGGCATCAGAATTCCTTTTGGTGCATAATTTTTTCACATTATGGCACAATGAACCCAAGGTCAATGAAACAATAAAAATTTCAATAGCAGTAAGTCTTTAAAGTTTTGCACTGCTAGGAATTTAACCTTTTTTTCTGCTCTTAAAAAAAAAAATCCTAATGCCTCATAGGGGATACTTCATTAATTATAAATCAATTAGAACAAAAAAAATGCAACATGAAGTCGTCAAAGAAATACTGCACTATTAATAGTGATTACCACCACGAATAGAATGAGGTGGGGGAATTACCTTTTCTTTCTGTCACTTGGTTGTTACAAAACATCAACAAAACAGAAAGGCATAAGGGGAAGACTCCAGCCCCTGTTCCATCAACACGCTCCACTAGACATCAGTACTACTATTCACTTTACATTCCATGAAAACATAATAAACACACTTAACACAACCAACTCTATCAGTCCCTTGCTATTTCAGTGGCAATGGCTATGGTTTTAACTTTTGAATCATGAAAAAAATCAATGTCGTTTTCTGTTCTGTATTATATCTTAAACAACTGTATTTAGTCTTCATTCCTCAATAAACAAGAAGTCATTAGAACCATTCTCTGACTTTTGCCCATGTGGAATCATGTGAACTGGTATGAAACCCAAGCACTTTGACCATAAAACAGGATGATGAGTCAAATTTCTCAGGAGAGTGACAATTTTTAAAAATTGCTTATATTTACTACTAGCTACTAGCAACCTAAAAAATTTAAATAAGACTAAATTAAGTTTAAATTTTCTTTTTCTTTTAAAATTGCACATAAAATTACCTAAATGTATGATAGTAAATGTAAAACTACCTTAAAAACCCTGTGTTTGCACCTGTCAGTAAGTTATCCATCATCTCCAAACAATCTGAAATTCCATCCAGGAGGTTGGAAGAAGTCTTAGTAGATTTACTATCATCTGAATTTAGTACTACCCAGTCAGTGAAATCAAAAAGCTAAAGTTGGTGTGGATTAGAGTTAAATTTTCAATATCTTTAGTTTTTATCTCTATGAACTCTGTTCAATTTTTCTTTCAGATAAACTAAATCAAAAATGAAGAAACTTGTTGAACTATTTTATAATTTAACTTACACTGATTATTCAGCAATCCTTCTTCAAGTTTCAGGTAGAAATTTGATTTTTGAGCCAAAATCCCAAGGTTTACCACCTTAGACTTAAATAAAAACAAAATTACACATTACTTAAAGAACGTAAATATTTCTCAAAACATAGCTTATATCTTAAAATGATCATTAATTTACTCTGTTTGTGACACTGGGAGCTACACAAAGTGACAGACAGACACCCCATAAACTTCAAGTCTTGATTGGCTCCTACCTGCTGGGGGTCCCCATTCTGCTCAGGTACAGCAAACCTGGGTACAAGCCCAGGAACCGTTGGGATGAAAAACGGTGCTGACTGGGGTACTTTGGGTGGTTCTTTTGGTTTGTTCTTTTTCTGATTAAGAGAGAATGAGGAGAAAAAAGACCAGTAAGTACTTATCCTATTAACAGTTTTTAATGTCTCTGAACAAATGAAATTAAAACAAACATCAGGAATAAAACCTCTCCACACTAGAATGTTAAAATAAAATCCATTGGAACAATGTCATAGCTATCCTTCACCCAGGCTTCCCAATGTAGAAAAGCAAACACAAAAGCAGCTCTGAGACAAGGTTTATCATCACAAGATTGTTATACTCAGTATCTCTTCACAAACAAAATGGAAACAACCTACCAAAACAACTTCAGTATCTCTTAACAAAACAAAATAGAAACAACCTAACCAAACAGCTTCAGTATCTCTTAACAAACAAAATGGAAACAACTTAACAAAACGGCTTGGTGCCAGAAGAAAATTCAGAACCAGAACCAGAAGTGTAGACTCCCCCATTGGAAATAATCTGCTAAGATTTTGAAGAAGTATGACCTTCTTCTGTTTTGTTGTTATTTTGTTTTGTTTTTTGAGACAGGGTTTCTCTGTAGCCCTGGCTGTCCTAGAATGAGTTCTATAGACCAGGCTGGCTTCCAACTCACAGAGATCTGCCTGCCTCTGTCTCCAAATGCTGAGATTAAAGGTTCTCACCACCACCACCCAGAGACCTTAATTCTTTTATTCTTTTGGAATTTTAACTTTCGTTTAGTACTTTTAAAAAGAAAATACTATCGCCAACTTATAAAATTGTTTCATATCAGTAAAATTTCATTGGAATTTCTACTGAACAAATTTCTGTTTTATGCAAAATTTTATAATTATGAGCATGTATGTGTTGGGGCTTGTACACTTGAGTACAGTGACTACGGAGGGCAGAAGAGGATGCCAGATATGCTGAAGCTGGAGTAACAGGTGGTTTTGATTCACCCAGCGTGAGTGCTGAGGACTGAACTCAGGTCCTCTGTAAACCAGCCCCTGCTCTTGACCATGGAGGCATCTCTGCAGATGGAAAATCATTTCTTACAATTGCACTGTCCTCAGGAACTAACTGGCTGGTTCACTTTGTTTTCACTACTACACTATCAGCATACAATCCCTCAGCCCTACCTCATGAACTCACTTGCTGACTCTGATACAGAAAGCTCTGAAAGTCTATAGAAGCAGAAAGAATACGGAACCATAAAAGGTTGTGTCTTAATAATAATAACAATAATAAAAACCCTAGTATACTTTTCTTAAACATAGCAGTAAGACATACACATTTAGATAGCAACTTCTCTTCCTTTGGTTTTGAAAGTAAGAAATATAACTTATTAGACCATATATTAAAATAGCCTGGGTCTAAAACATCTATAAGTTACAGACTGCTTCTGCTACATCCAAAAACCTGCAGTGCATATACAGTGGACAGAGAAGAGACCTCTGTGATAGCATCCCATCAAACACCATTCAATTAAATAGCAGTGTCTTGACTATTGTTCCCCTCATACCCTCAAAGTAGGAAATGCTCATGGAGTACAGGCTGGGTGGCAGTATCAAGAGTACCATGTTACCTTGATAACATCAAGATTCAGAAGATTTTTCCAGCGTGACTCTGGGAGAAGTGATAGAGTCACCAGTTGCTCACTCAACTGTTCTGGCGACTCATACTCTATCATTTCATCACTTGGCTCAATCTGTTCTTCCAACACTTCTGTACCTTAAAACACACATTCAGTAAGACAAATGAAGGCAAAAGCTCTATCTTACATTTCATTCCACATTCATTTGTATTTTACAGTTTCAATCAATACAGCTTTGTAAACTCGTTTCACATATTTCCTTTGCTTACTTCCCCTTTTCCTTATTTCCTATTAATTATAATTCCCATCAGTAGACGTCAAGCACTTTTACATTGGCATAATATTTTATATCTAAAATATTTATCATCAGTTATAGATTTCTATAAATTAAAGTCATTCAACATATTTTAAGTCAGCTAAAAAGATTTGATTGACTGCGTTAAATTTTGATTATTTTGCAGCAATAACCTAACAGATGTATAATATACCTAAAAAATTATTTTGTTATTTTGTGATTACCTTGGGTTTGACAAGTCCCAGGAAGCATCACTACTGAAGGGACATAATCTGGAGGAAGTGGTCGTAAGGAGACAACTGAATAGAGGGAAATATTCGACCTGAATAAGGAAAAAGCAAATATTTAATCTTCAGAGAAACTATAATACCTGGTAATGATCTGTATATTGAATTTGGCCAGAGACTACAATAATTAACTAGCTAATATCTCAAAGAGAGACTATTAATATGAAAATGTTATCATAAAAAAGCTGTATAAAAACAATGGAACCGGGCAGTGGTGGTGCATGCTTGTAATCCCAGCACTCAGGAGGCAGAGGCAGGTGGATCTCTTGTGAGTTCAAGGCCACCCTGGTTTACGAAGTTAGTTCCAAAACAGCCAGAGCCATACAGGGAAACCCTGTCTCAAAAAACAAAAAGAAAAAAAGAAAAAACCCAAACAACAAAAACAAACATAAAACAAAACAAAATAAAATAAAAAACCATTAATGGGGGCTGCAGGTAGTTAAGAGTACTGGCTGCTCTTCAAGAGGACTGATCAATTCCAGGACCAATGTGGTTGTTTTACAACTGTCTATAACTCACACCAAGCCATGGTGGCACATGTTTTAAAATTTCAATGCTTGGGAAGCAGAGGCCGGCAGATCTCTGTGGGTTCAAGGCCAGCCTGGTCTACAGAGCAAGTTCCAGGATAACCAGGGCTACATAGAGAAAAAAACAGGGCTACATGTCTCAAAAAAAACAAACCCCCTTCCCCCCCCCCACCCCCCTGACACAAAAAAACCTATACCAAAGTAGGGGCAGATTTCCCTATGCCTATGATATGAATTTCAATGAAAAACAAAAGTTGGGAACTCAGGTCCCAAGCTGTATTAACAGCTGTACTCTATGGAGAAGTACCACATTCCTACATAGGTCACTAATTCCAGATGACACTACAGTTTGCTTTTTAAGATGGCCAAAATGATAAATTAAATTTACCCTTTTCCCCTTAGAATTGTAACATATTTTATAATTAGAATTAGAAAAGACTAATATGGTAGAATATCCCTGTAGTCACAACACTCAACAAACTTAGGACCAGCATGCAGTAAACACACAAGTGTCAGGACAGCTAAAAGAACTGGGTGTGTATATATAGACTCAGGAAAGGAAGCTTTTCTAGATCCATGCAACTAGAATGCATCTTAGGAAGCATTCTGATTACATATGTGCCTTACTTTATACAAAGCATACTACAGTTCAGAAGTGATTAGCAAAGGTCACACAGTTATAGAGGTCAAGTCCTAACGGGAACTTCCTTCCTAATCTTTGAAATTCACTTAGTCTGTTAGCAAATAAAAGACAAATAGACAAAAATTATGCAATGTAGAATAGGAACTTGAACAGCTGTCTAAATTATCAAGCATCAGTCATATACTCATGGTAGATTAATTAGGCTATGTGACAGTTCCGATGTATAAAAACAAACTAAATGTCAATTTTAACAACCACTGATCTTGACCATTGTCATTTTCCTCCTCCCCATCCCCAAAATAAAAGATGTATATGAAAGAACTCACCACAGGTAAATTCCAAGGTGGTCCACATGGGAAGTTGCTAGAAAGTCTCCAGTGGGGGACATAGTAATATTGAGAGGAGCTGAGTCTAACAAAAAGCAGTCGATAAGGCTACAAAAAGAAATTTAGGTACTTAAGCTCTACTTGTAGAGGTATATTATTTTTTTAAGTATTTTTTTATTAAAAGAACAAGCAACAAAAGTTGGGGGGAAAGTATTTTTTTTTTAACAAATTATAGCCAGAAAGTTATCATTAGCCACTGCTTTATCAACTAAGCTCCTATGTGAAGACAATTAACTTAATGAGAAAGAACCAAAACATTACAGACTGATTAACTGGAGAAAGATTCAACAGTAAGGAGAATACAAGAAGAAATGTCATTTTTCTTACCCCAATTTTGGTACACATATTGAGAACAATTTTAAAGACATTACACATTGAAAGAAGAGTAGGGAGGGACCACTATGTAAAGTCTCCAATACAACCTGCACATTTTAATAGTGAGCCATTTAAAGCTTTTGAGGAGATTCTATTTCATAAAGAAATTTACCATCAGAATTCAGAATATATTTGAACAATAAGAATAATGGGACTACAGTAGTAATCATTTAGAAATAAAAATCTCAATAGGATGGTTAGTGGCAGAAGGAAGGAAGCACAAGCAGCCAGGGGGCAAGAGAATGCCTAGACCACAGACCCCTAGACCATAGACCCCTCAGCCTGGTAGGAGGAGGAAGAAGACCTTCGGGAAGAATAGACTAGTTTTTGTTGTTGTTTTTAAAGATTTGCTCATTTTACTTATGTGTATGACTGCTTTGCAGGTATGCATGTATTTGTACCATGTGTGTGTCTGCTGGATCCACTGGAATTGAGGTTATGGATGGCTGTGAGCGATAATGTGTGCAGAAAATCTAACCCCAGTCTTCTGCAAGAGCAATAAGTACTCCTAACTGCTAGCCACCTCTCCAATCCCAGAGTAGACTGGTTTTTTAAATTATTAAAAAAAAAAAAATCATATGTCAAAGACAATGCATTTTTCATGGGAACATGTAACAAATGTCTGAAGTTCAGGCTCTATGCTCATACAAGTGATTAGAGATAATATCACTTAAGTCATCTGCTCCTGTATTTTGTTCTTACAAGTACCCTGATGTAAGCATTTGAGTGGAATGACTAGTCTAATCTTTACAACCCTGTGAGACACAATCATGTTTACCTATAGATCAGAAAACCAAGTCTCAGTGAGATTTCAAAACTTGTTTAAGATAGAAAGCAACTGACTTAGATTTATGCCCAAGCAGACTGCACTTTTAACCACATGATTACTAGTAAAATCATTAACTGTACACAAGCAGCATATGGAACACACCGTAAGCAGCGCAAATGTCCATGACAGCTCTTCAGCTAAGACATTAAGTGACAACCCAAAATGAGAGAAAACAAACAACTACAACTAGGAATTTTGGAAACTAACAAATGCCAAAGTGTTTGTGTTCAAGATAATCAATGTTGGCCAATTCTCTATTGTAAGAAAAGAGAAGCAATAAGCAGCCTGGCTTCTGCTTAAGCCTGGATGGGAAACTCACAAGAAACACTTGTGTTTAGGGGACTTAAGACAAGGAAGCAGAACACTCAACCACTTAAAATTCAGTGATGATTAAATGTCAAATTATTTATCTTAATTTACATAATCTAAACAACACAGAGCAGACAATATTATCCCAGTATATAAAACACAACATTTCCTCATTTTGATACTTTTCCTTTGTCTTGATGCATAGCAAAGGTTTAAATATGTATGGTAAAATGTCCTACCATGTTTGAATCCATCTGTTCACAGAATTAACTGCTTAAGCAAACTTGTTCTATTTGAGAATTCAATTTTGTCAATTTCATTGTGCAACTTCATTTCTACAGCTGTGGTGTGTGGGTAGACTGGCCTTTCACTATGTAAAAACACCAAATTGAGGAAGGCAGTTTACACATATACAGCATATTTTCCACTGTCACCTGGCTCATAAAACTTCAACATGCAAGCTTAATTCCAGACCCAAGTCTCCTGATAATCCTAGAAAATGAGGAGTCGTGGGAATGTTGTTATTTTTCATGATGTACATTAGGAACAGTCCCATTCAGAGTGCTCTAATTTTTTAACACCAGAGCTGTGATGAAAATGTTTAATAAAGGAAGGTTTCTGTTCTGGTATGCTTTTAAAAGGGGGAATCTAAACAAATTACAGCTTCCTAAGGTTCAACAATAAGACACTAACACTTCTCTATTACCTACAATGGTTCATTCTTAGAAAGCAAGACATAGCCTGAACAAAGCTGGTATAGGTCTTCCTCCTGTGCTTATTGTTTTGCTCAGTTATTTACAGTACTTGGGCAAATGACTGAATCTCTTTAAACCTCCTTTCCTAACCTGTCCAACAGACATAATAATAATAATAACAACAACAACAACAACACCATGTTTATTAGGACACTAATAAAGTAGACATGTAAGAAGTATCCAACAACAGTGTAAATGGTAGCTTGATGTTTGATATTGCCTTTCAGGTTATTTGTTTCACACCAAATTGTAGTCAAAGAATTGTTTTTTTCTTTAATAAAAATATACCTTTGTTGAATTGGTGATTTCACTTTCTTCTAACAACTCAATGTCTTGTTTCTCGCTTTTGTATTAACATTAAATAGTGCTCATCTAAAACATACATATGTTTTAAAAAAAGTTGAAAACTTACCAGATTTAAATCTACTCAACAAATTACTGAAATAAAAAGTTCAGCAAAAAGGCTACTGCTGAATCAAGACTTCAAGGCTTTAAATGCTACTTTCAGATCCTAGTTTTCCATTCCAAAGATAAACTTCCTACCAAAGAAGTCACCATTCTTATTTTAATTCCAATTCTATGATACCCATTTATGGAAAACTGCAACAGGCCAGGAGGTAATAGATTACCAATATTTCTAAGTATCTTCAAACTTCTGTTCTTATTTTCAAGCTAAAGCTAAAGGAACTCCAATTTGCTTCACTCTATATTAAGTGAACAAGTGACACACCTGTGGACAAAAGTCCCTAGTGATTATGGCTGGACTCACTCTAAATCAGATGCAATATGATGGAAGGTGGGTGTGCTTTCTGCCTATAGCAAAGTTACAGGGAAATGAGAAATATGGGTTTTTCCTTCCTAAAGGTCAAACTGCTTGCACATTGAAGTTAACCAATTCCTGAGAATGTGCTGGATAAGCAGTTTCACTTATGAACAGATTTTTTACTCTGCCACATTACAAAGAGAGAAAAACAATACCTAGGAAAGCTATGTCTTTTTACCCTTTAATTAAATTCTGTATGAACAACAGCAAAAATCCACCCCCCTATCTGCTCCTTGAAGAGGGTAAGGCCTCTCTTAGGAAGTCTATTTTAAAGTCTGTCCCATCATCTTGTTGAGGCAGGATCAAGTCACCCCCATACCTCCCACACCCCTATGTCGAGGCTGAGCAAAATATCTCTCCATATAGAATGGGCTCCACTAAGTCAGTTTATGCATTAGCGTTAGATCTTGGACCCACTGCCCGTGGCCTCATATATTGTCCCAGCCGTACCACTGTCACCTATATTAAGGGAGTCTAGTTCTGTCTAAAGCAGGTTCCCCATTTGTCAGACCTGAGTCAGTGATCTCTCACTAGCTCAGGTCAGCTGATTCTGTGGGTTTCCCCATCATGATCTTGACTCCTTTGTTTATATTATAGCTCCTTCTTCACTTCGATTGTATCCGGAAGCTTGGCCCAATGTTTAGTTGTGGATTTCTACATCTGCTTCCATCTTTTCCTGAAGAGGGTCTAGTTTCTCTGGGGTTTTAGATTGTCAGCAGGGTATCTTTTGCTTTATGCACAGACCACTTCTGTATCTCTAGCTTGCAGGAATGAGTAAGAGATAGGAATTTACCTTGCTAATTATTTTGTCATGCTACTGCCTGAAACTTAAGACATCAACAACACTAAAAATAAGACAGTGCCAACTACACAGCAATAAACAGGCAAAAGTCACATGTTCAGACAATGACTGAGAAATCATCTCAGGGACTTAAAAATGAACTCACCACCCAGATGGAAGGTCCCAAGTCCTAATAGAGCAATCCATTGCAGCACTTATCAACCAACGGCCATCAGGACTGAATGTCTTTAAAACAAAACAAATAAAATACGTAATATTAGTATGCATATAGATAGATATATGTATATACATGAACAACTTAAAGCATACAAAACTTAAAAATCTTAGGCTTCATGAAATGACAAATGTGACTGTGCAAAATGCAGACTTCTAGTTTATATAAATAAAAATGTATTTTCTATATATCACTACTCTGGACCTTACATAAGTATTAGGTTTTTAAGTGAAATCACAACAGGTCCATGAAATTAACATTGTGCCAATACTTACAGCATTATTTATTTACCTACAGAATTAATAAACTGTGACCGAACATTATTATTAAAAGTAAAGTTTTAAAAATATTCAAATATTCTGAGACTATGTGGTTAAAGATATTCTGTAAAGATTTATAAATAAAACAAAGCTGTTTCTTTGAAAACAAATGTACTCAACTCTAGGAATTTATCTAAATCATTATGATTCTAAATATAGAGAATGAAAATTCTGTTAAAGAATGTTAATAAAGAAATTCTTTTACTTTTAGCTTAAACAAACAAACAACCCTACTCTTTTCCCTTAAGGAAACTTTTATTTTCAAGAATCAAAAAAGTAATGGATTCCTGATGCTACTTTAAGTATCTGTTTCTAGCCAGAAAAGCATGGAAACTGCCTGCTGCTGGTGATGGTGGTGGTGGTGGTGGTGGTGGTGATGATGGTGCATGCCTTTAATCCCAGAATTTGGGACGTGGAGACAGGCAGGTCTCTGTGAGTTCAAGGCCAGCCTGCTGGTTTACAGAGTGAGTTCCACAACAGAGTAAAAAGATACAAGCTACAGAGAAACTGTCTCAAAAAACCAAAAAAAAGGTTGGCCAAGAGCTCTTCTTCCAGGTAGTGTTGAGAGTCTTAGCTTAGAAGTGAAAAGACTCCAAAAGAAAAACTGTAAGGTTACAACAGTAGATCACCCAAAAATTTATGTACATCACAGGGATTATTTCTTATTAGCAAGTGTTACTGGAGTAAACCCACTGCTAATTTATTCATCAGGCTCCAGTAAAGATTACTAGGGAGGGGTGGTGCAGACAGTACAGGGTGGGACAAACTGGCTCTCAGAGATAGGCTTGTGTTACAGAAGGTAACAAGAAAAATTAGAAGTAAACACCTGAGTAGGAGAAATTACAGACACAAATGGGGAAGTAAAAGCTACAAAGGGAAAAACTGGGAAAAGCAAGCTGACAATGACAGATGTTTTTTAAAATGCTACTTCATCATAACATCCCATCCCCACCCTGGTTCCTCCAGATACCGTCAAAAACAAAATCTGCTGAAGGCTAATTTTGCCATTCTCAAGTTGCAAAATATAATTAATTCCCTGAACCGATTTCTCCCACTTTTAAAGGAAAGGGTAAAGGATTGTCATTCTGACTTCTGCTTACAAGTGACATGGCTGCTAACTACTAGCTTATTACTTTTTTATTTTTTCTCTTTTCAAATAAGCAGAGAATCTGCAATTTGTATAAGTGATACCATATACTCAGTATAGTCCTCAACTCATAATTTTAAAAGTGTTTAGTTTATTTAAATAAAGTATACTTTAAAATCTGGCTATGTTTTAACAATATCACACAATTCCACTAAGAAACATAATGCAAACTTCATCACATTTTATTGAAATCTTTTGGGGTTTAGTTATATAAATTCTAGAAAAACTTCATCACATTTTATTGAAATCTTTTGGGGTTTAGTTATATAAATTCTCAAGGTCATGATGGGTGAACCCACAGAGACAGCTGACCTAAGCTCGTGGGAGCTCACAGACTGGACCGATAGCTAGGGAGCCTGCCTGGTACTGACTGCATGTGTGTAACAGTTGTGTAGCTTGGTCTGTTTATGGGCCCCCTACCAGTGGGATCAGGACCTGGCACTTGAGCTGGCTTTTGGAAACCTGTTCCCCATGCTGGGTTACCTTGCTAGCCTTGACACAGGGGAAGAAGCTTGGTCTTGTCTCAACTTTATTTGCCATGCTTTGTTGACACTAAGGGAGACCTGCCCCTTTCTGAGCAGAGACAGAGGAGTGGATGGGGAGGGGAGTTTGATAGGAACAGGGAGACAGAACCCTGGGGGAGAGGAGGGAGAACTGTGGTTGGTATATAAAATAAATGAAAAATTTAATTAATAGAAAAAAATTTTAAAAAATTCTAGAGTAACACTATTAGAACCAATCTGTTGTTTCAGACTATGATAAATTCATTAAAAGTAGAAAAAAGGAAAAAAATTCTCTCAGCTTATTTTTAAAACCAAATGAAAAATTATACACTCACAATCAGTGGAACATTCACTCGACAAAGTATATCTGACTTTATTTAAAGACAAAAAAAAACCCTCTGGCATTTATATTTCAATATGATGGAATCAACCTCCCAAACAACCTCCCAAAGTTTTCTTAAAAATCTCTTTAAAAATTAGCCTGAAGCGGGGTGTTGGTGGCGCACGCCTTTAATCCTAGCACTCAGGAGGCAGAGGCAGGCGGATCTCTGTGAGGGCGAGGCCAGACTGGTCTCCAGAGCGAGTGCCAGGATAGGCTCCAAAGCTACACAGAGAAACCCGGTCTCGAAAAACAAAAACAAAACAAAACAAAACAAAAAAATTAGCCTGAAAATTACCATTCCTTCTGAAAACCTTCTTAGGATGAGAATGAGGAGATTAAAAATAACAGACTCAATTACTTGAACATCTTTATCCTGAAGAGAAGGAGAAATGAGTGAGGTTATTTAAAAAGCTGTTTTGTTTTTACCATGTCATTTATTTGGCCTTGGTGTCCAGAAAACTCTCTGACAATCTTCCTAGTTTCTATATCTAGGACAGTGATGGAGAAGTCATCCAAAGCAAGCCCCAGAATGCCACTGGCAAGACAAATGCACAAGTATTAATAAGCAAAGAAAAAACATGTGAACCTGAATTCTGATAATTAAAATGTATCTTTGAGGAAATTAAACTATATGGAGTTATTTACTAAAATGCTCTTGATTTCTTCCCACTTGGTAACTTGCTTTACTTACAAATTTTCACTAAAAACAACAAAAAGCAAATCTTCGTTTATAAGAAGAAGTTTACCTGTCCCTATGTAGCAGCATCATATTTGGAGATGAATCAAGGCTCAAAGAATGGATTAAAACCTTGCTTTTAAAGTTCCAGAATTTGAGTAATCGCTCACTACCAGCTGTAACAGTTAGCTGGTTTAATCCGTCCACCGCAACACCTCTAACAGAACCTGCATGAGCTTTTACATGTTGAAAGGGAAGAGAAATCAGGATTGGCAATATCTGAACAACATACCAAGAGTGACTCTTTTAATACCTAGTCTCATAAGTGATAAAACCTAAAATCTTGAAGTTAAACTGAATTACAAAGAATAAAAATTCTTAATTATTAGACTGTTCAGACAAAAACAGTTGATTCCATGAAAGATAATTTAATAAATTAGTTAAAATTTTGTCTAAAGCAAAGAAGAAAAATAATACATAGCTACTTTCCCCCTAATACAGTCATGACTTTCTTCCCTTTAAATATTTTAATAAGGTGGGTTTTTTGGTTTTGTTCTTGGAGACAGGGCTTCTGTATAGCCCTGGCTGTCTTGGAACTCCCACTGTAGATTAGGCTGGCCTTGAACTCAGAGATCTAACTGCCTCTGGATTAGAGGTGTGTGCCACCACCGCCCAGTTTCAATATGGTGGTTATGGTGTATATAACAGTACTGCCACACAGAGTTGTAGAAACCCATATAAACCTTATTTCAAAAGAGGGGGAAAAAAATTCAATACCTTTATCATCTCCAAAACTTCCTCGATGTATACCAGACTGCATGTTATACACATCTACAGTTCCTGAGGAGAGGCCAATTACTGCAAAGTTTCCACAGGAAGTTATATCTACTGCCTTTAGGCAAAAGAAAAAGAGGGATGATTTCTATTAATTCTGTTTTAAATAAGTGTGAAGAAAGTATCTAAGGCAACAAAATAGAACTAGTTAACTAAAATTTACAAACTTAGGAGAATTTTTTATAGTTATTTCAAAGTTGATATAAAGCTAAAAACATAATAGTTAAATACCTATTAAAAACCAAAATATTTTAATTATGATACATTAGTAGAAAATATATAACATTCACTATGCAGTTTATATAAAATAAATGTATCTCAATACTTTAAGTATCAATATGTGTCAACAAGCTGCTTTTTTTCTACATCAAAAATACAAGACTATCTCCTGTTTGGGTTCATGGCCAGAAGAATCACTGCATACCAATTCGTAAATTAGATGCTATTCACCCAAGAGACACACACAAATAAATAAATGCATAGCTTCTAGGACTCAAGTAGAAAATATTTAATTGAAGTTTACTATGCTGGCAACATAAAACTTACACATCATTATTCAAGATATACTTGAATAATGAGTAAGAATGTTGAGTGTATATTTCTCAAAACAACGGCTTACAAAAAAGGAAACAAAACATTATTTAAAAACATTTTATCTTTCAAAATGGAACACTTAGTCTTACCTAGTTTTGAGTAGCTCATATTTATGTAGTATTATAGTGTATGCCCTCAGAAAGTAAGGCATTACTTACAAGTAATAAAATAAAGGTCCCTATGGGCCCTAATTATATTTTTCAGAACTTGCATTTATTTAAAGTATTTGCCAGTTAGAAAACCTACTTCTAGTAATTTCCTTTCTAATGAATTCACTCAAATATATTATCTAAGACAAAATAAGCAAAGCAAAACTAAAGCACAAAGGCTACCTGAGAGACAAACTTCAGAGCAGGCTTTCTAACAGCTACTCTTGCTTATTCTGTACTGGTTATTGGCTTTGCTCCAGGTAGCTGAGTTGTCGGACAAATGATTCAGCACCACTTAAGATCCCATGATATAGCTGTCTACCAACCACAGAGACACACACATTACACTATGAGTGATCACTGTAGCCTGTAAATTACAACTGTACATTTCAAAATAAACTGTCTTGGGTTTAAATCCCAGCTTGATCACTTAAGTACCAGCTAATACTAGAGATTGTTGTGAGGATAAATGAAACAGTGCATGCTACTCAGAGAAGCTGGGATGAAATAAGTGTTCATAAAATGTTAGCTGTAATCATCTCTACTACTTACATGAAAACTGTTACTCAAAATTATGCTGGTAGACTTCCTAAAGAAGCTCAAGATTTCTGAGGCTTAACCTGGGTGGTGGTGGTGTACACCTTTAATCCCAGGACTCAGGAGGCAGAGGCAGGCGGATCTCTGTGAATTCAAGGCCAGCCTGGTCTACAAAGCTACACAGAGAAACCCTGTCTCAAAAAACAAAACAAAACAAGACAAAAGATCTCTGAGGTTTAGAAATCCATAAAAAAATGATTAAGATCTGTGTTTCAGATAAGAAAATACTGCATACATACTTGTAAAGAAATTTGCACAAAATAGGGTGAAACACTGAATTATACTTCAATAAGCATTTTCAAAAGCCAAGATATCCACTTAAAATCATTAGAATGAACAAGTTCATCAAGACACAAATGCAAACATAAATTACTTGATACATTAGTAATCAGTACAATTTATAAGCAATTCCACTTATAATAGCAAAAAAAAAAAAAGAAATCCAAATTATCTTTATTATTTTTCTGTAAAATTCATAGAACCAAAAGAGCCAAGCTAGTCTTGTGACAAGAATACACTGGAAGAATCACATTTTACAGAGCAACCGTAAGACAGGGTAGTAGCTGCTAAAATAGACACATACAGTCAGGCAGCAGTGGTGTATACCTTTTAATCCCAGCACCTGAAAGTCAGAGACAGGTGGATCTCTGTGAATCTGAGGCCAGCCAGGTCTACAGAGTGAGTTCCAAGACAGCCAAGGGCTACACAGAGAAACTTGTCTCAAAAAGCAAGCAAACAAACAAAACTCCAAAAGGAACTGACACATACAAATAGCCTAAGACCACATAAAAAGATGCTCAACACCACAAGCCCACAGGAAATGCAAATCAAAACATAGGGTGACAGTACTTCACACCCAATCACAAATTTAAGAAAACTAAACAAATTAAAAAACTTGATACTGTTAAGGCATTATCTCTAACTCATAAGTAGTATTAGTAAACTTTAAACAAAATTACCTAAGGGTGCTGCGTTAAGGAGAAGACACCATAATAAACAAAGTCACTTACTGTTGCAATGATGTCATCTGTCTTTAATTCTTTTGGCTTGAGAAAATAAGCACCTATTGTAGATCTTTGGTAATTCCAGGTTGAGCAAGATAGCTTACCTTGGTGGCAAGCAATGATACCATCCCAATCACTTTGACGAGCTTCCTCTTAAACACAGTAAAACCATAAATCAAAATGCTTGTCTTTCCATTCATTCACCTATGAGCTAGGCATCTTATATTCCACATGCACATATGGTACCAAGGACACACTAATAAAACAAGCAGGTTACCTCTAATAATAATCAACTTTCCAATCTGATAGATTATAAACAGACAAAAATTATGTATTCTGTTTGACATGCAACATAAAATGGCTAAATGAAGCTAATATATTTTGCAACAGATTATTGAGAAAAAATGTATAATAATAACATATGATGGAATGACAGTGTTTACTAAGGGGACTCAAGAAGAGTTTACTGAGATTTTATGATAAAAATAGTAGCTCATCAAGAATGGTAATAAAACAGAAATTTAGCAGGCTAGTGGTAGTGGTGAGGAAAGTTAAGAGTACAGGCTGCCCTTCTAGAGGACCCAGGTTCAATTCTTAGCACCCACACTGTGGCTCACAAGCATCTGTAATTCTAGTTCTAGGAATCCAAGACTTTTTTTTCTGGCCTGTATGGGCACCAAGCACATATGTGGTACGTATTATATATAGATGTAGGTACAATACCTATACACATTAAAAAATGAATTAAAATTTTTAAACAAAAAAAAGTAAGTAAGAAAAATTGAGTCGAGCAAGTAGGTGAAGTATTTTCTTGGAAGACGTGGGAGAAGAAAAACTACTAGTCAAAATACAAAAGATCTTGAAAGTCATGTTTAGAAGATAATATTCTACTGAAGAGCCATTAAATGGTTCTAAGAATGATTGAGATTTATGTTTAGAAAGGCAAAACAGACAGGAAAGTGGTCAAAGCAAAACATCGAGTGATCCCATTGTTGCTGTAATCTGGAAATAACCTTAAAAATTGACAAGTCTACTAAGCTATTTCTTGGTAGTTTCCAATTACTGATTATCTATGTGCCTCCTCCTTACAAAGAAGCTCTGCCCTAATGCCACAGTATTCCAAGTCAGGGACTTTAGACAAGAACTATGCCCTCATGTGTTGCTGTCTCAATGAGCTTTCATTAGCAGGCGTATGATACAGTAAAGAGAACTATAAAACAAAATGTTACTAATGGCTGTTACAGGAAAAGGGTATTAACACAAAACAAATTCCTGTTCAAGGTAACCTTTTCAGTGTTCACACAAGATCAGCATGCATTTGAGGCCACTTTCTAAACTTTTAATATACAGAAGCATTTATCAAAATCGAGGATATAAACATAAAACAAAGGAGACATTACAAAGTATGAAACTACTCACCAGCAGCAAACTTTGTGATAGGCGGAAGCCTTACTGACATGGTGTTCTGAAGTCCTTTACGTTTAACTATCTTTTTATTTATTAATCCTGGAGTTGGGTGTAAGGGATAATAGTAAAGTTCCTTAATGAAAAAGTATGGTAAGGAAAAGTTTTTCATTGTTATAATAAATGTACAGAACAAAATATTCCCAATTAAGTTAGAGGCAAAGCAAAGAGGTTATTACCACTACCTTTAAATAATGTTTGAAGTTAATTAAATCATGAAAATAAGTTGTATGAAATAACAGAAAAATAAAAACACTATTACTTTTCAAGGATACTATAGTCATAGTCAGATAAGTCAAAAGAATCAAATACTGCAAGTCAGACGTTCAATGGGATGTTTCAGAACCAATATAAAGGCCACCCAGTAGCAGCAATCAAATAAAAATGTAGGTTAAAAAATGCTGCATGACTAGAAAAAAAAAAAAAAACCTGTAAAATACCATTGAGTAACATCATAAGTGTAGTGGCACATGAGAACTCAAAACCTCTGAAAATCATACATACAAAGTATGAAAAGATTACAAAGTATTTGAAAAGTATACAAAGTGAGAAGAGCTGGGAAGGGATCACCTCTCTCCAGTTCCATTCCAGGAGGAGTTACTTTAGAGATGTGAATATGAATACATGGATATACAAGGGTATAAATGGTGTTTAAATATATATTTAAGTATAATAGTTTAAATAATGCTTCCTTCATAGACTTTTCAAAATGCTATCCAAGAGAAGAAATGAATTAATGGAACTTCTTCAGTTCTCACAGAATCTTGAACTGATTTTTTCTTTTTCTTTTTTTTGTAACCATCAGCTTGTTTTCTATCTTGCAAATGACTTACCATGCCCCAAGCTCTTGTTGAATTTTTCATGAACTGTAGAAAATGACTGTAGAGTTCCATCTTGACCTATTAATATAAACAGAAAGCCCCAGTCAGATTTCATACAGAACATGTCTGTTAGGACATGCGGTTGTATGAGAATTCTGAGTGCTTGCAAGAAAACAAAGTCTTGTGATCTCAGTTTCTTCAAAACACAAGAGTTGCTCTTGGAATGTGTTTTCGTGTTCCTCCCAGGTTTAGGGGACAGGAATGAGTTTACTTCAGCTGTTGTTATTCATAAGCCACATTGTCTTGTCCTTATGGTTGAACACCTTACTTATGTGGTTTTTAGCCCTCAGATTATAAATTGTCGGATGCTCTGAATGAAGTTGGCTATTGCATGAGACATTAGTCTACCCCCATTTTTAGGCCTTGCTCTCACAGGTTCGCGCCACCAACTAGAGCAATAAGCGCATGCCAATCACAGATGTTAGAAAGCTAAGTTCTAGGCAAAGCTACACTTTGTAAATACCAAATCAATTGAATACTGAGTTTCTACCTCTTAATGTTTATTCAAAATAAGGTTAAAAAGCAGAAGCTCACTTGCACTTAAAATCTGCTGTCCATTTTGTCCATAATATCTGATCTTGGTTAGAGAAGCACTATGTCCCATTCTGAATCTCAACAGCCGTCCTTCACCTGTAGGGCCATCAAATATCCATATCTACAAAGAAATATAATGGTAAATTGCTTCAACCATGTACCATCCACAAGTAGTTCAGTCATCTTCTCAACACATTAACCAACACTAGGCAGTGCTTGCACTGCCATTGTCCCATTGAAGGGTTTCAGGAAAAATAAGCTGCAATTCTTACCCACTTCGACACAGTCATGCACCCTGCTGTGTTTTTGCTTCATCTATACCAATCTTGTCCTACACTCCTTTAGTCATAGGTTCAAGGATGGTATATTAAAACAAACTTATAAAAACCCCAAGCCACTTGTGTTTAGAAGAGGAGAATAATCGTAATACCCTAAGAGCATTGTCAGCGCCATTTGTAACAAGCAGAGGTTCTCTATGCAGAAATGTCAGCCCAGCTATTGCTGTGGAATGTGCATTTCTCATTTGATTGATTAATTTTTTGTCTTCCAGATCCCAGAGTCCAATATGGCCACACTGGGTGCCAGCTGCCATTACTGGATGACCATCTGTTAATAAAATAAAAACATTAACAAAACATTCCCCCAAGACAATAATTCTCTCAATGTATAAATTTAATTAATCTACTCACATTTCTATGCTTTCTTCTACCTTAGCATTATATTAATACTTATTAGGTTAAACTACAAGAAAACATGTTTTAAAAAGACCTTTACCTTTCTAGTGATGAATTTTAAGTATTCTTAACTCTTATGATTAAGTAAGTTAAGTTACCTGTGCGAAATGAAATGGAAGTAATGGGTCCCCAGTCCTGACGGAACTTCATTAATGTTTCATCAAACTTAATGTTGTGAATGACAACCTGACCAGACATAAGACCAATGGCAACAACATCCACAGCAGGTGCCTGAAAATTAAATGACTCAGCCTGTTATTTTCTTAAATAACTTCTTGATGATATACACTATTATGTTCTATCAAACGAAATGCTAAAGTAATAAGAAAAAAATCCACTAATATTATCATTTTGGCATTATCAGTTATTAGCATCCAGGTATTTAACAATGTGTTTTCCAAATTACTTCCCAGCTTCAATTCTGCTAGTCACAGTGTCCTTCCAACTCTTAAACCAATGCTGACTGGTAAGAAAATAGTCATACAGAAAAGGAGACTGCATGTGAATTCACTACAATTTCTAACTAGAAGAAATGGGGGACAACAGCCAAATCTTAAAATCATGAAAAGGATTGCCACAAACATGGAAACATAACTGACCTACTTAAACAGGAAGTAAATAATTGCTTATTAAGATAGGAAAAACCTAGAAGATATTCTAATATTTATAATTAAACTGTTCCAGAATTAATAGTGAATAATTATAATGGTCTTTGGTCTAACAGAGAAGGCTTCCCTTACAAGTTCCTGTTTTAATACAAATGAATATCCAGTATCATGCAATGAGTCAGGCTATACATTTCATCAACAGGCTGTTAAGTGCCTACTACATGTCAGACTCTGGAAGCTAAGGATAACAAAACAAAACAGGATCCTTGTCCTCCAGCTACTTAATCATCTGAGAACTAGAGTCCTCAGGGTATACCATCAAAAACAAAACAAAGTCAATGGTGGAATGCAAATAAACTGAGCTGGTGTGGGCAGTGCATAGTAAGAAAAATAAGGCTACCCCAGTAGATAAACCAGATATTCTGCAGATGTACACCATGTATACACTTCACTGATAAACGTGAAAACAAAAAGCAGCTGCTTATGAAAGATTCTACCATCTAATAAACACCAGTTATTTCAAATACCAAAGTTCAGTCCTGATGAATTTCTCTATATGCTCTATAGTCTCCTTTCCATGATAGTTATTTCATTTCTGTTCCATATAAGGTACTAACTGGCATGCATATGAGTGAAATCACTAGGAAATGCCAAGTACAAACAATTACACAAACTTTATAACAAAGCCAGTTTTTCTTATTTTCAGTTAAATTTCTAGAACACTTTCCTCAATTTCCTTGGGTTAACAGTTTAAAGAGGCCAGGTGGAGTGGGGTAGGAGGTGGCGTACACCTTTAATCCTGGAACTCAGGAGGCAGAGGAAGGCAGATCTCTGTGAGTTCGAGGCCAGCCTGGTCTACAAAGAGAGTTCCAGGACAGCCAGGGCTACACAGAGAAACCCTATCTTGAAAATCAAACAAAACAAAACAAAAACAATTTAAAGAGAAATCAAGGTATGAATTTTTATTTAAGTCTGAAAACACAGTCACTCTAGTAGAGTAAGCATGACTACTACAAGCCTTGTTTTTCTCTAATAAAAAAAATACTAACCTGCTGAAGGGCTGTTACTCCAACTTTCCACCCTGGAAATGTATACAGAAGTTTACTACAAGAAAAAAAGAGATAAAACTTACTTTTTAAAAAAATCAAAATCAACTCTGTATTTAAGAAAAGTAACAGATGTTTTTGTCTTTATATCAAGGAATACTACAGTCTCTTTTTTAAAGGATTCATTTATTTTTCTTTTATGTATATGGGCATTTCTGTCTGCATGTTATAGCTGTGTACCACATGTTTGCAGTGCCCTCAGAGTTCAGAAGAGGGTGTTGTATCCTCTGGAATTGGAGTTACAGACTGCTGTTAATTGCCACATAGGTGCTGGGAACTGAACTCAGGTCCTCTGGAAAAGCATCCAGTGCTCTTAAGCCATGGGCCATCCCTCTGGCACCCAGGTGCTGTTTATTGTAAATTCTGGCTTCAGCACTTACTATTCTTAGAACATACATTAGTTTACTTAATATTTAAGATCTAATCACATAAAATAATGCTATCAGTATTCACCATATTCCAGAAAACAAAACAGAAGTGAAATAATTAAGCTAAGGTAACATAACTAGGAAGTAAAGGAGTCCAGATGATTTTAGACCTCAAGCTGCTAATTGCCAGTTCTTAAGAAAAATAACAGATGAGAAAAATCCACTTTAGAGTACAATAACAAAAATATAGGTAGATTTCATATTTTATTACAATTTAATTATTTCTAGAAACATCACCACTGATGGGGGTAGTATTTGTACACTACATGAATTAATTGGGTAATTCTGATGCTGTCCTGGGTTTCAGAATCAAATCATCAATGAAATAAAGTCACGAAACAAAGGTATCAAAAACAAAACAATCACCAAAGTATTAAATCATAAATTCAATTATGCAAATGTGCATAGTTTAGATTACTCAATAATTATGCAATGGATAAAGTACAGCAAACAGCAAGAAATGTAAAGGAGAAAACTAAAAATTAACTTTACAGATAGAAGCAGATCATGGTCAATGCCCCTGAACCTAGCGTAGAGTAGGCAGTGAAAAGGTATTAAGTTGAACCGAATACTGACTGAAAACTAAAGAAATAGGATTAATATCAAACTTTCCCCTTGCAAACATATAAAGACTTCAGAAAGGACAACTGGGGAGGACTCAAATATTTTGTGTATGTGTGAGTGCCCACATGTATGTATGCACACCACATGCATGCTTGGTACCTGAGGAAGAGGGTGTCACATCCCCAGGAATTGTAGTTACAGGCAGTTGTGAGGAACCTGATGTGGGTGCTGGGAACCAAACCCAGGTCCTCTGCAAGAGCAGAAAATGTTCTTAACTATTGAGCCATCTCTCCAGTCCCTTGTTTGCTTTTTAAAATACTACATAAAGAAGGTTGAGCTGTCTTCCCTTCTCTTTGGATAAGCAATCAAATAACAGGTAAATATGTATTTAAAATCATTTTGGCATTCTTCCATCTCTACTAACAGTAGATAGTAGATTGGTAGTGATTAAAGTAATTTCTATTTAAAAAGCATTTTTACTAGTCACTGCCCAATTGCTTTATGGAAACTTTCACTATAACAATATGGATTCTTCTCCATTATTGAGCCATTAGTAAATACTGTTCAATGGGCATTTTTGACACTACCCATCACGTTCCAGGACAATAAGCTAGCTTTCACATGTGAAGTCAGGGGCAATATTTCAAAGGTAGTATAAGGGAAACAATTACAAAAATGTAATCTTTGAGGAGGCAGTAGATAAAGTGAGAATTACCTAAGGCATTTAAAATTAAGTACTTACTTGGATTTTACATTCCACAACTGCAGGCTTCCCTGTTCACTGCCCAGTAGGATTTTATTTAAGTAGGTGCTTGGATGTAAAATCGTCGAAATTTGAAAAACTGACTTATCGAAAGTCAACTGAAGGTATTCTTCTACAAGAGTAAAAGTTATCAACAGCATGATTATTGTTTATGAAATAATTTTTATATTTTTCATATACTCAATCTACTACAGATTATGAGTAACCACACTACCCCCACCCAAACCCCACACTGGCACAATGGTGAAGGATAAAGGGAAAAGTGTACAAACATTAGGGAGTGCTACTTTAAGATGTCCTTTTGTGTAGCAGCAGTTTTACTAAAGTCACTATAAATAGCTCCATGAAGAAACTATTTCATTGTGCTGTTGTAACAACACAAGATCTGGAAATTAGCTTCAAGGAACCACATCTGAGACCTTATGAATTCCTGTCTTCACAGGAAGTACTTTCTCTTGCTTGAGCAAAAAGAAAACAAAGGGTTACTAATTTCAATGAGGAAATTGGATACCTCCCACAAAGACAACATCTAAATATTATTTACCAAAAGTAAACATACTCACTGTCCAATAGGTCACCAAGAGGAACAGAAACAAAAAAATGTGAACAGGTAACTCAAAAGAGCCAATTCAGGACAAACTCACAGTACCTTATTAAGGAAAGCTAGGATATCCTGATGGTAAACTCCTCACCTTTGAAAATTACACAAGCTCTTACACAGTGCTACTACAAAGGAATATCAGCTAAATGGCACTGACTCACATCCTTTGAAAAGGGGTGAGTATTTTCTTTCAGGTTACAACCATAACCTCCTTTACTTAAAGGTGAAAATTTTACCCAAGAATGACTCATGTGTCAATGTGATTCCAAATTCATTTCACAGAGAAAACCACATCATAATACATCACTAACCTTGGAGAACTATAATGGAGAATGTTAGCTGAAATGAGCACATGTTAACATATTAAAAGTAGTGCAGTCTTAAGTAAAATTGCTTAGTTAGAACCTTTTTCCATATGTGCTAAACAACTCTCAGTGTTTAATTGTAAACATGAGAAAATTCTGGTATAGAGCTTACTATGGTGATATATTATTTATGATTTATTAAAGCTTGCCTGATGATTCAGAAAGCAAAGCCAGCCACAAGCCATAGAAGACAGGCATACATCTTTAATCCTAGGACTCAGGATCAAGAGGTAGACACGGATCTCTCTGAGTTCAAGGTCAACCAGGGACACATGAGATTGAATCAGTCTAAAAGAGTAACAGAGCTCACATCTTTAATCCCAGCACTAGAAGGGTATAAAAAATAGGAGCAGGGTCTTCAGTAGTCAGTATTGAGCATTTATTCTCCAGTCACATTGAGGATAGGAAGACATTCAATCTCAGGATTCTCCAGACACACTGAGGAGAGGTAGCAGGATCAGTCCAATCAGCCTGAGGTAGGTAAGTAGTGGTAAGAGCTAGTGGCCAGCTTCTTGGCTTTTCTGAACTTCAGCTTAAAAGTTTGAACTCCAATATCAGTCCCTGGGTCTTTAATTTTTCATTGTACAGCTTATGGTTTTCAAAGACTTTTAACTATATACATAAGTATATATAATATCCTGATGTAGAGAAATAAAATCTTACCTTCTGAATATACGTGCCAAATAATAAGAATGCTGTCCGTATCCACAGAGATAACGTGATCCCCAAAGGGTTGCAAGAGATGGATTTCTGCCTTATGGCCCTTAAAAGTATGTACTATCTATAATGCCAAAGTTTAAAAGAGATTCATATTACTCAGTTCATCATGTATTATCCAGAAAGCATGTTAACAATGAAAATGTTCATGCTAAGAAATGTAGTCCAGCTTTGACTATCTGAGATTAAATGATGAAAGAATAAGGGACCAGGCCTGTTCAGCTGCTCACTCAGCCAATTCAATAAAAAGGAAGGAAGTATGGAGTAGAAAGACATCAGAAATGAGAGCTAGAGAGTTCAGCCTCTCTGCTGCAGTTTGAGAAGTGGTGTGCACACACAAGTCCCACTCCCAGTGTTACCAGAGCAACACCCATGCATCCTAGAAAAAGGTATGCTATGGAAGACTGTCCTTCACAGACTCCACCATAGTGACCAGCAGATGAGATTTCTGGTTTGACAGACAAACACTCTATAGCAGCTACTCCTTCCATAACTAAATTCCTTTCTCCTCCAGTGTTCCAGTCCCTACCAGGATCCAATAATTCTACTCTCTGCATTGGTCTTTTGGCCCAGCAGGTGGTCAGTTTCCCCACAGCTGATAGCCCCCATGTTTCCCTGACTCTAATTTGTTCCCCTAACCTTGAACATACAGTGAATAGTTCTTTCATTAAAGTAGAGAGATCCTATCTTGAACAACAAACAAACACAAACCAAAACAAACCTCTTTACTACGGGCAAATGCAGAGAAAACTTTCCCATACGCAGCAAAGACTAGCCTCCCATCAGCTGCCATGCAACAGATATCCTGTGGAACGGAGTTGCCTAGGGAAACAGAAAAGAAATGTGAGCTGTTAAAGACTCTGGAGTGACTGGAAATCTTAAATATACATAAAATAGTTTTCATGACTGTAATTCAAATATGTACTTAAATAAAAATGAGAATCAGGATATAAATTTTTTACTTCAATATCATAAATATGTGTGGCATGCAGACATAACAGAATTCTAAGGAAAGAAAAATCTGTTTGAGAAGTTGAAAAAAGCAGCACTTATAGAAAATTCTGGCAGATGGACAACTAAGTAGCTATCACTGTGGACATACTAAACAATATAAAGTTTATTACTAATTCCAAGAAAAATTTAGAAGTAAATCATAACTTGGACTAACCCTGAAAAACTATACAGTATTCTATACACTGACCACTAAAATAATTACATACACTATGGTTTCTACTCAGTCTTTTGCAAAGTTAAATATGCCTATGACCTGTAGCCATTCTCATGACATAACTTCCTAAGTCCTCTTTCACTTATATGAACACACTGCCCATTCGTTCTCATTCCTCTCTTAGGGCTAAAGAGTTTTGTAGACAGCATAGTCTAAAATCCTGTCTGTTCCATTTTGGGATTTAGGTTCTACAATAATCTTTTTATAGGACTAGCACCTCACTTTTTTACTCATCTTAGTTTGCTCTCTTCTGCTTATTTACTTAAAACAGCACACACACACATGGTTTATCAGACATATAAAATGAATTCCTTAAGTCTTTCATCTAACAAGGATTGTATTTGAAGGTAAAACTACTTTCTCTTAGCTGCCAAGCCCTTAGTCTACTACACAGCCTTCAGAAAGTAAATACAAATTCCTTTCTCCTCCAGGATTTCAGTCCCTACCAGGATCTAACAACACTACTCTTTGCCTTGGTCCCATGACCCAAGTGGTGGTCAGTTTCCCCACAGCTGAATGCCAGAATTAAATGTTCTATTAAATCAATCTCTAAGTGCATGTTATCACAAAATATGTAGTGACAACAAAGGGAAAAGGAAATTTTAAAAAGGATCCTCTTCACAAGGGTCACCTTAACCAAATCAAAATTATCAATGAGAGGGATAAGGCTAGCAACAGCATGTGCCCCCTGACACAGCACCGAGAATAATTTCATTCACTATTATTTCTGACAAAGTGCCTGAATCCAGAAAACTCAAATGGAAAAGTATTAAAAACCACCAACAACTAAAACCTGGGCTCTTCATAAGCAACAGTTTTCAACTTGAGATGAACTTCAATTGTACAACAGCTGCTTAGAGTATGCAAGGCCAACAGTTTGATTCCCAGCACAGAAGAACCAGCCATAAAAAAAAAAAAAAATCATGTAAATCATAAAAACAAAGTTCTGAAGAACAACAACTAAGTGACATGACAACTAACAATAAAACATGATTCTGTCCTGTCCTTTAAATTTATGACAAAATTAAAACTAAATGTAGCAAATGTGAACAAATTCAGAAAAAAGTACACTTACTTACAGCCACCAGACTAAGTTTTTGAACCTGTTAAAAAAAAAACAAATAAACACATTTTCATTAACAAAAACAACTATAATACCTAGAACTCCAAAATTAAGTTATCACCTCGTAAATAAATTTGCTATGCTGTCCTTTTGAAGAAAGATAATCACTGATCCTAACTTGTATTATAAGGAATGCCTGTTTTACCAGGAGTGATGAGATAAAGGACAGACAAACAGCCTCTGTAAATGGCCAAGAGTAAATGTTTTAGGCTTTTTGAGTCACACAGATTTTGGTTGTGGCATGAAAGCAAACACATATAATAAAGTGCATAGGTGAATCCAATAAACTTCCATGTATGGATATCAAACTCTAATTTTTACATAGTTTTCATGTCATAAAATGTTGTTGACCCTCCTCCAACTCTTACAAAATTATAGAACCACTCATTACTCATACAAAACAATGGGTGTGACTAGTTTACACACTGTAACTCACTAATATTAGTATCTGGGTAGTAATCTAGCTGTGTGACATCAGGAATTTTACTTAGCTATTTTGTGCCTCAAATTTGACTGGGGGGGGGGAATCAGAATGCATACACACATTATAGGTTCATATAGGATCGTTCAATTAGACTTTAAACAAACAGAATGGAGCCAATCATACAATAAATGTTCAATAAATATTAGCTATCCAAAATATGTCCTACCCAAAAACCTGTCTAATTTTCTTGTACTATAAGCTAATCTGCAGAAAGTCTATAGACAAGCTAGAGGAGAGATAAATGGTAGAACAAGTTTGCTCACAAACGTCTTAGGCATATCAGTGACTTGAACACAAAAAGATTCATATTTTTACTCTTAAGTTATTTCCAGTTTCAGACAGTACACTGGTTGGTATGAGCAGCACAGAGCCTTCAAATATATCATTCTGTTATGGTAGGAGTAATTGTAAAAATGCACAAGTTATAAGACGAGACCTTCACTGATTTTTTTTTTTAAGACAGCAAACTTCTATACACAAAACAAAAGAAAAAAGCAATGTTATACTTTTCTAATCACATTTGTTTGGAAGCAGAATATGGGGGAAAGGTGTGTTTATATGTAACAGAGTACCAAGAGAGTTCTAGACCAAGGACAATTTCAAGAACTGTTAACTGAGAAGCAGAAAAGTTACACTTCAGCCAGGAAACTTCAGCAAAGCCCTAGGCTAGCAAGCAACACAAGCTTCTACAAGGTGAATAACCTAACTACAACCCACTCTTCTCAACATTGCTAAACCAGGCTTTCAAAACCCTATAGCTCTTTCTTCATCGACACCTACTTTGGCTTTAGTTCATCTGCCTCCAAATCTCCAGCTGTCCTTATTAAGAATGTACATTCTTTTGCATAACAGAAAACAACTGTATGGCAGATAGGCTATTAAAAGCTAAACACCATCTCTAAGAGGCTTGGCAAGTAGCTTAATTTTCCTAAAACTTACTTCCTAGTTTGCTCAAGGCTGCTACCAGATAATGAAACCAGCCTTGAGTTTCTGCAGTTTCATTGAAGACCTGAGCTATACTGCACAAAAAGGTAGGCTTCCGTAAATCTGTATCTCACCGTCTCTATTTCTTCCACTGTTTTAGTGTGAATTTATTTCCAACAAAATTTTTGAGGCCAATTACACAATAAAATGCCCAAGAAGTGTTCTAGCGAAGAAAAATTATGAATGCGGTATAGAGTCTTGCCTTATTTGTTTACATCCTTGGGGGAATGAATGCATGTAAACAGACATACTGCCAAACCGGTAGTTTTCCCCTGGGCAAGAAGATTCCTCCAAAACTCGCATCCAGGCGGACAGCAAGGGCACAAGGATGCCATGAGGAC